AGATGGGGTAGATTATGAGACAGGGGTTGAAATTGAAATAAAAAAAGGAAAAATAGGTTGAACGTTAAGAGATGATCATTAAGATGATTATCGGTCAAGATTGTTCCAAAGTTTATTATTATTATATTATATTTATTTAATATATAATTATATTATATATTAAATTATATTTAATTAATTATATAATTAATTATATAATTATATAATTATATGTAATATAATTATATTATTATATTCGTTTATAATATAAATTCTTCTCCAAGGAAGAAGAAGAAAAAAAAATGGAGAACAAAATGGAATCTGATGAAAATGAAGAGAAGTGTTGTTTGATCATCCTCGAACTAAAATTTGGCAGAGTTTTCCCAAGTTCAGTTTTGTCGAGATTAATTTTCTTGAGAGGAAGATTCGCGGCTCCTTCTGCAATTAAGTCGAAGGAACCAGCCTTTCGCGATTATATAATTACGTAATTTACCTAAAACAGACGAGTGATTTTCATATATATATATATATATACAGTTGGAAGAAAAAGAGGAACGGTGGTGAATCAGAAGATAGAACAACTCGAATTCGGTTTGTGAACCGTTAAGAAATGGTGATTTAACATGCCACGTGATGCACAACCATTCTGCCACGTGGATACCGTTACTCGGCTCGTTGGTACTCGCCTCGGCCTCCCCCCTCCCCCACCATTTATATTACATAATCCCGGCCGTCTCCGATTTTTCGACACCGTACCCTGGATTCTGGATCGAGTTTCTGGATTCTAACGACGAAGCTTGCCTGAATAAATCGTGTATTTATATATACATAATTTTTTAATATAATATATATATATATAATTTTCTTAACGGTATTTTTATTTGTTGTTAATTATTGCTGCAGGATCATTGATTTTTTTCTTTTTCTTTCTCCCACATTTGTGACACGATACGAATAATACGAAAAATATTAGTCGAGGTTTTGTCATTTCTTTTAAAGAAATTTTATTTTTCTGAAATTGTTCTCGAGGATTAATATAATATATGTATAGATATATAATATATTCTTCGAAAAAAATATTTAAAGTTTAATCTTGAATAAATGGACACGTTTGATGAATGAAGTTCAAATACTTAAATGTCTAATCCAAGGAAAAAATGAAGGAACTTTGATTTCGAAGGAAAAAAAAAATGGAAGATAATTGTCGATCGATCGAATCAAATTTATATTATAAATCGATGCACGTTAAAAATTCAAAACTGAAACTCGTGAACTTTTCTTATCAGCCTTCAATCTTAAAAAAGAAAAGGAAAAAAAATAGAGATTAATTAATACGATTCTCTCAGTATTGCAATTTTGTTGGATCACGAATTTGCTTCGAGATTAAACGTTAAAATACGATCTGGAATCTATCGAGGACCGCGTAAAGAGAGACTCGAGTTTGATGGACTTTTATCACTCGATCGACGAAAGCTGGGCACAATTTGCCCCGAATTCCATAGTTGCGAGGTGTCGCCGCAAAATCGACGCGTGATTCAATTAATTCGAGTGAAATACGAGCAATTATGAAGCCACGAGCCTCCAAGATGAAGTTCGAATTTTTTTCTCGAAGAAGTGTAAAAACCGACTGCGGGTAAGGAAGAGCATTGGTCAAGAATTTTGAATCAATTTAAATCGCGACGAATAAATTATGCTTCTCTTTGACGGAGAATTTAATTAATCCTCAATATTTCGATATTTGGAAGATATATATATCTTGAAAAAGAGTAAACCCAAGAAATATGATTAAATTACAACCGATTTTTGTTCGAGATCACATAAATTAATTGGACAATTATTTTGAATTCGATGCAACTATATATCGAATGAATCATTGAAAACTGAAGAATCTGTTAATATTTTCTGGAAAAGTAACGGGTTATGTTGTTAACAAATAATTGAATTAGATTCGTAATCATTTTTATTGAAATTTAAAACTTAAAATTAATTGAGTAGATAAATTTTGAAAAAAAAATAAAATTTCATTTATTTCATCGAATTACATCGAATGAATTTCTATTCGTTGTTTAATCGCTTCAGACGCAAGAATGTGATAAAGTATCGAATGTAAAAAAAGTAGAATTGAGATCATTTATCGTGAAAATTATTAAAAAATTCTCAATATTTTTAATATTTACATATTAAGAATATTATTATTTTATAAAGAATATTATTAATTTGTTATTAATATTTATTATTAATATTATTAATAATAATTATTTATATTAAGAATATTATTAATTTATATATTAAGAAATTCTTAATATCAGAGATATTATTTTCTGCACGGCCATTCGAATATTATTTGCGAATTAATCGCGAATTAAGGAAAACAACAACAACAAGTACCATCTGTGCTATCGTGAGCTCGAACTCTACTCTCAAGCGAGTAAATTCAAGAGGGGCTTGAACCAAAGTTTCCCTCCGATCCAAACTTGCCAAACCTTAAAGAGGGAACAAGCTCCTGATCCCTCTTCTTTCTAATTACCGTGTTTCTAACCACGATACCTAACCAAGTGTTGCACCCTCGTCAATCTGAATTCCATCAATTTGATATCCATTATATAAGAACATTGAACATCTCTCATAATAATCTTCCAAAAATTGACAAGTCTGTTCAAAATAATAATATACGCTTTATCACCTAAAACAAAAAATTCAGACATTATCGATATCAATTTCAAACTTTATCATCAGAAAATTATTGAATTTCATTACAATATATATATATATAATATTGGCATATAAAGAATCGATAACGAAAAACAACATTAACATTTTTAAAAAGAAGTTGACAACGATATTTTCATTCAAGAAAGAAAGAAAAATTTTAAAAATTCTTCATGCTATGGAAATAGCATGATATTTTATTTTACAAAGGATTTTCTATCTGTGTATATATATATATATATATATATAAAACAGTAATAAATATAGAGTAATAGAATGTGTCAAGTGTATAATATAATATATAATATAGCTTTTCGTTTTCTTCGTTAAAATACACCACATATTTGTTTCGATCAAAAAGGTATTTGATTCTTATTCATACGTACAGTTTACAGACGATCAAAACAATTTTCTTGTTACCTTGAAGTATCCGCGTGACGAGATGGCTGATCGACGAAGGGACAGTCGGGATCGAGTTCGTCTGACCCACTTGATCACTACAGATCCCGTTAGTTGGCATCGAGTCGACACTCATGCTGTGCCCGTACACGCGTACCTCTCGCCTCGATCGGCGCGAACAGCCGCCGGAGAAAATGTCCGCGCCGAGGAAAGAAAATGGAATCGTCTTAATTGGACGATTCGTTCGAAGGATAACGGCTATTGTTAGTAACACCACCTTCGTGCTACATATTATGACATATTAACTTCAGGAAACGTATTATTTCGATTGAAATTATTCTAAGTAAAGAAAAAAAGAAAAATTTTAAAAATTGAAGAAATTCTTCACGCTATGGAAGTAACGTGATATTTTATTTTATAAAGAATTTTTTATTTGTATATATATATTCAATTTGGATTTTTTAAATTTTTCTTTTTTTCTTTACTTAGAATAATTTCAATATATATATATA